CCTCTATCTAGTCTGCGCGTATCACACGCTCAGCGACAAATCCAGCAATGCTCTTGTCCTTAGCATGCAAGCACCGGACTTTGGGCTTCGTTGGGGTCATCCCGCTGTCCATTTTTTATTTGCTTTTTTATCAACCAAAAAAAAAAAAATCCCAAAAAAATGCACTTTTTGCACAGCTACAGTTTTAAAATGGTTTCTAACAGCAAAGTTTTTTCCCTCAGTTAAGTGATGCAAACAGTTTTGTTTCTGAATTTCACTAATAAAAACGTTTTTTTTTGTTGAATTTTTTGTTGTACGCACTGCATATGAATCCAAACTCAGAACGAACACATCGACTGATATCATCCCCTTTAGACTTACGCTGTAATGGCTACGAATTCAAAGTTTGCTACGCTGTGAAATGGTTGTCGATTGTGTCGCTTGAAGAGTGAGTGATGAACAAATGACTGTTTCAAGTTCATATAGGACAAATTTTTGGGAGAGGAAGTAATACGCAAACACAAAAGAAGGAAGGGGAGAAAAATTGTTAATAATTTTATAAATTTGTAATGAGTGTTCCGGTCCATTAAGTCGTATACATTGCTTACAGTTGCCACAATTGGACCTTGTCAGTATGACGGTTGTGATAACAAAGTCAATTAAGGCAAGTTAAAGTTGGACGGGATTTAATATGTTTTCAAAATGTGTGTTTGTGTTTGCCAAAGGGAATTGTTTTCTTTCTCCTGGAAGTTATGGAAGCATCTGCGCGAGTTTGGTATCCAGGAACTCGAACTGTGAAGGTATAAGGCTTCATTTATGTCCCTCTTTCTGAAGATTTTTTTTGAGCTTATACAGGAAGGAAAATGATCGGTGCAGGCAGAACAGCATACCGGATCATTAGTTTTACCCGAATCGTCACTAGCGATTCAACAACATTAATTTTCCAAAAAACGGGTTCCATCGATTGCTTGGGCAGCAGTGAGCTTAAAACGTCCTTCGGAAGCCCTACTGTCTTTGTCAGATGTAGTCCCGGGAACCGTGGCGGTGTTGGGAGTAACAAGGGTACCATGGTTCGGGTTTGTGTGTTTTGGCCAGTCGTAAAAAGTGGCCTGGCGAGAGCCCAAAACGTCGAAAAACCTGTATGCAAAACAAGAAAATCCAGCTTGTAACACACAGACTCCAATCAGACCGGCAAGAAGGAGGGAGCTGAAAAGCGAAAACACCGTATCTTCGGAAATACATAAAAACACATTTTTTGGAAAAACATAGCAGAGCTAAGGGAAAACTGGTCCGTTTGGAGAAGAACAGTTTCGCCATGTGCCCCAAACGAACAGAGGAATGAGGTATTGGACTATGTGCTTTCTGCCTTTGGTATACACTCAGGCCAGTTATTGCAAGAACAATACAAAGCCCTAAATATATGTCTTTCTTAAACATTAAAACTTTTTGATCACATTTTTTCGACGGGTAGAAAAAGTTGCTGGCTTTGTAGGTAAAAGGTAGACGTTGCTCATTAGCGAATGTTGCTCTTAGGAATATAAGCGACCACTCGGACGGCTTCCATAAAAACTGCGCATATACATGGAACAGACTGTGGGTGCTAATGAAGACTTGCAACTCAGGATCGAAGGGCCTAGCCTAGCAACACTCTACATTTGGGTGTACATAAATAATATCAGTGAAATGAGGTACCAGTATTGACATCCGAGTTGTTTTAGTAATATTAGCAGTTGCGTTTTTCCAGCTTTCATAATCATTTATTCAAGATTGCCCGAGAAGCAGCATTTAATCACCTTTACAAAGTAGAAATTGAATTTTTATGGTTTTTCCTTTGTGGTTTTCCTGATTTCCTGGTGCCGAATTAAAGAAGCCCGGTCATTCATCTTTTTGTCGCAAGCGCGGCGCTTCTTTTCTCATGAGTATGAGTTCGCATGTGTGCTTGCAAGCCGTTTTTCCGGCCAAAGCTTGAATTGCAGCGGTCGCATTTGAACGGCTTTTCACCAGTATGAGCTCCCATGTGTCTTAGCAAGTTTGCTTTCTGGCTGAAACTCGAACTGCAGTGATCGCATTTGAACGGCTTCTCACCAGTATGAGCTCGTATGTGTCGTAGCAAGTTTGCTTTCTGGCTGAAACTCGAATTGCAGTGATCACATTTGAACGATTTCTCGCCAGTATGAATTCGCATATGTGTTTGTAAGCTTGTTTTATAGCCGAAACTTGTGTTGCAGTGGCCGCATTTGAACGGCTTCTCACCAGTGTGAACTTTACAGTGAACGCGCAAATTTTCCAATCTTCCGAACCTTTTATCGCATTGTATGCACTTGTATGGCTTCTCGCCAGTGTGCTTCCTTATGTGAGTCTTCAGCTTTGAAGCAGCAGAAAAGCTATTATCGCAATAACAGCATTTGAGTGAGCGTCTGCCACTGCGAGTTCTTGTTTGGCTGTGATCAGCATGTTCAGTGCTTTTGCTTACTGTAGCTGATATTACCGAATGTCCTTCCGGGATTGGCCGGTAGCCATTATTGCTATCGTCCTGTGTCTGATTCTTCAGCTCGATTGGACTCGCAAGCTGCAAAATAGTTGAGAAACAGTCATCTTTTTTATTAACGCCAAATAGTAACCCAAAGCTGCATTCGATTCAGTCGCCTTGTGTTTGAAAAAATTGGCCAACGCACGGGCTGCCCGTGCGACGATGCGTTTTTTGCATGGTTCCCCGTAGTTTTT